AGAGAGAGAGAGAGAGAGAGAGAGAGAGAGAGAGAGAGAGAGAGAGAGAGGCTTACCTGGACTTACCTGGTGGTGATTGCCTTGTTGGGGGGACAGCGCGTTGCTTCCGAAGGGCCGGCATTGTCTGGACCGGTGTTATTCTCCATGTTGCTGATTGATTCTGCATTAAAGAGTGACTTGGCCAACTGGAAAGTGGCTTGAGAGAGACATACTGGTTTCATCATTAGTAGAAGCAATAGGTTGTTGACTGTGAGGTGACGAGGAGAGGAAGAAGAAGCCTGGAGGATGGCAAGGCAATACAAGGCAATACAATTATACAAGACATTGTATTCCTCTTCCTCTTATTATTCTCTGCCTCTGTCTAAGCTCTTTTGTGCTTGCCATAGCGTGGTGCTTGTCATTCATTGAGAATCATTAGATACATGCATGGTGTTGCTGTTGTGGTTTTCTTGGTGTTGGTTTCATTGCATTAGCCCCTAACATTATTTTATTCAGCTGAGTCGATCAGGACTTGAACCCATGAGCTGTTTACTACTCAGTCACATTGGCTGGGTCAATCGTAAATTCTTAATGCATGTTATCATGTACAATTGACTCAATTTGACTTTTGCCTAACCGTAATGCTTGTTTCGTAATTCTTACTTTTTTATCTCAGGGCGATTGTCTCGTGGGAAGGAATTGTTGTGAGACTACACGCATTCTGAATACATGTTGTCCTGCGCTGTTAACTATATGTTTTTCAACTTGTGCTGAACAAGTATGTTTGTTTCATTATTCTTCTTACTTTTTGATGTCAGGGAGACCGTCTCCTGGGAAGGAATTGACAGGAGACTACAACCCACTCGAAGCTGGCCTCTGGAAGACCATCTCATTAACCAAAGGTCTGTCATCGTCACCTATCCTTTCAGTTGTGTCACGGATTTTTGCACTCCCTCTTAATGTTCTTCTTCTTGCTTCCCTTTTCCCCCCCATGGGCCTAGGTCCTCTTCCTCCTCTCAAGTAGCTTCCCTTGTCCATCCTTCATCCTTTCCATCCATCCTCGAGCAATTCTTCCCAGTCTCTCTGCCTTGAGTCTCCTACTCCAGCTACTTCGCCTCTGCACCTTTCCGTATTCCTCTTACTTTCCTTACTCTTCATTTCACAACTCTATTTTTTTTTTTTTTTTTTTTTTTTTTTTTTAATCCGGACCATTTCTCGATCTATGTGTGTAATCCTTGCGCAGGGGCCAAGCTACTCTTCTCTGTATCGTTCCAATTTTAACGGATGTCCCGAAGGACCTTCATTTCCCAACCTTACTTCTCCCCCCAAAAATAAGGGAAGAAAAGAAGAAAAAGTCACATCCTGTAAAAGCAATATTTTATACCCTCTTTAAGTTGTCTTGTCCATCATCTGCAGCTGTGCTAAGTCACAATCTGCTGTTATTTAAACATGCCAAGATGGTACATTTTCTTTTTTCGTCCTTTTGTTTTTCAACACACTAAACCACACATGCCCCATCTAGTCTGGGGGTCATCAGTGGGTTTGCTTATCACTGGCTCCTCGGCTCCCAGACGTGAAAAGTTCAGACGTGAGAAGACAGGACAAGACCAGAAAAGAACAGTATAGGGACTGTGCCCCTCGGCCCTATCTGCAATCAAGGGTGAGGGCTGCCCTATACCGGGTGGAGCCAATCCACTCCTCCTAGGATGCGAAGGCCCAAGGGATATACATGCTGGTCGGGCAACCTCATAACGGTTCATCCAACTTTTCACCAATGGCCAGTGTCCTCATGCGGGTAAATCCATCTTGTCTGCAGGATGCTATATCGGTCAGGAGACTATTGCTCGCGTAATCACCTACGATGCTCTCAAGCAACAACTTTGGGGATTGGAGCTGGAGGGCCTAGCAGAGCCAGGGACGATAATCACAGCAGCGAACAGCGACGAGAAAGTGAGAACCTCCTTTCACCTGTTTCTTTCTTAACTAAGTCTCTCTGCTTGATTGCTGTGGTGCAGAAGGGAACTGGTTGTCCTATTCTGATCCACCAGTTTGAACTTTGAATGGATCTTTTTTTTTTTTTAAGCATGGTCATGACTCATGATTGACATTTGGACATAAATAGGCGGTGCGCAATGGTGGACGGAGAGGGCTAGTCTGGCTGGTTTGGTTTGCGTTTTCTTGAAAGGGAATAGAGCTGGTAGAGGGGTGAGGCACGCCTTAAAGCTTGCTGGTCATCAATCCTTGCCACCTACGACACGGTGGCTCTGTCGACCTTCTGCAATCAGCGCTGTCAGGGATCCCCAGGCCGTGACGTGGGGATAGTTTGTGTATTATTGCGTGCATTGACTTGCAACTGGAATAAGAACTGAATTGATGCTTCGGAGAATGGACTGGAGCCAGGCCTTTGAGGGCCTTTTTTGAAGTTTTCCCTTTTCTTGATTTTTTTTTCCCTTAAAAAAAAAAAGTTAAAGACATTTTGAGAATTTTGGACATGAACATGCTCACGTAATACTAGTACTCCCTGACACACCTCACCTCTATTGCTTTGCATTGGCTTGTTGACACGCCACAATTTTATTTTTATTTTTTGTTTTTTTTGCCACGGCGTGTGAGGCTCTAGGCCTCGGTGGGTCTCAGAAAAGGGCGGCCACGGTGAAGTGCAGGCCTAGCCTAAGTGAAATCCGCCTCTGCCAAATGCCGCGCCCCAATCTGAGCCCAGCCCAGGCAGAAACTACCTGGTAGGCCGAGTCAGGGTAGCAATCGGGTAGTTACAGGCCGGTAGGGACTACCCACCAGAGGCGGCCCAGACCCCGGCCTCAGACAAGACAAAAAAGAGCAGACCAGGAGGGGCAGCACATTTGGCAGCGGGCAGTGTTGGGTGCATGCGCTGGCAGAGCGCAGAAGGGAAGTGCCTGTGCCTGGAAGGAGGCAGCAAGGTGGTGATCTGCCAGGCGACCACTGCCATAGCTGTGAGCAGCATTGCTGTAGGGGAAATGGTGGCTAGAAGAATTGGGGTAGGGAGGAGGGAGCTTGCGGATACTTACCTGGTGTTGACCGATGAGCACCAATGCGATCAGATTCCTCAGCGGCATCCGGGCAAGAGGAGAGTGCCGAGACCACCATAGGAGAGGTGGTAGGTTAATATGTGTAGGTCGGGTAGGGGAGTAGTATAGGCGGACACATCGTAGTAGGGCTACTACATCATTGTTGGATTGTGGGAGGCGCAAAGACGGCTTTCACTGTCAAGGGACTTCAGTGTTGAGCGTGTTCTTGGTTTAGGTTTCTCCCAGCTTTGTCATTCTGCTTTCAACTCAATTTAGAGTATACTCACATCACAGTAGGCACTCAAAATCCCAGAATCACAAAATGAGCAGCCAGATCGAAGAAGGGCTCGATTCGGCCGCTGATTTTTGCGATTCTGCGATTTTGAGCGCCTAGTGTGAGTATGCTACTATGCTCTTATTCACGATTGTTCCTCTGTGAGTTTTTGCATCTCGAAATTTGTGAGTTCTCATGGGCTGGCTCCTTCCAACAATATGCATCCTGCCATGGAATACAGATGGAATCTCGAGCCCCTGAATGCAAAAACCTGCATCTGACAAATCAACTCTGGCATGACCATGTAGACTTGTGAGATGACCACTACTGCCTTCCCCCGAACACAACATACACTGATAGATAGCCTTTGACAGGAAAAGTACATACACTACGTTTTCGACTAGATGCAGTCATGATGAGGGGGCAATGCATTGTGTCGAGGGAAGACATTGGCTTCGTTAGGCCTACCTTCTATTATTGAGGCCATCTTTGAAGCTGTTACGATGAGTCTGTAGCGTAGGTAGCATTTCTGCAAAGTACTTGTAGACCCCTAGCTGAGTGTGAGAGAGAAGAGACACAACTTAGGGCCAACCCATGGCTTGAAACAGTATGGCTCAGGGGTTTAGCATAGGCACCGCAAAGGAGGCCAGGATGCCCGCCAAGACAAGCAGGGAAGGGGAGAAGAGAGGAAGGGTGAGGGAGCACCCCTGAAGGGGTAAGGGGGTTGGTGCGACGGAGGGGGAAGGGGGATGATGATGATGATGATGATGATGAGGAGGAGGAGGAGGAGGAGGAGGAGGAGGAGGAGGAAGCGGAGAGGAGGAGGGAAATCCCTCTTTCTGTGTCCTCCTGTATTCCCACTCTTCTTGTAGTCACTGTCTAGCTGTTTGGGGGCATTGTCAGGGTCTACTTCGCCTGGAACCCTGGTTGCAGTTGTGGCTAAGGCTCTCTGAGAGTTGAAGAGTCTGAAACATCACCATAACTTTGGAGCCTAGCTCTTGTTTTCAGTGTATCTTCTGCATCTGTTTAGCCTTTTGGTCTGCTATATAGTGAGATATTTCTGGCTCTATTGCCTCTGTCATTAGTTCTTCATTCTACAGAGATCGGCAACTCGTGTTCTTGTACGAGGGTGTGGAGCTGGTCACTTTAGCACTTTAGTTGTGCTGCTAAGATGTTGGAGAACTGGTGACATGCGGCCTGAGGGAAGCAAGAGAGCAGCAGAGCAACTTTGAACCTGGAACAGATCAGTGGACCATTTTTTAGCCTAACATGGAGAGAAAAAATGACCGAACTGGAAGTCTGGAACAGATACTGTGGACCATTTTTGAGTCTTAGATGGAGAAAATGGACCAGCCTGGAACAGATAACAGTGGAGCAGTTTTGACTTGTGAAACTGATCAGGAGGCACTTGATGAGGGGCCACTAAATCTGTTTTCAGCTCAAGATAGACAGGGTGGACTTGTCTGATGAAGTTCGATTGTTGTGTGTGTTTGTTAACGTTTTTCCTATGTCGTGCATCTCCTGATTGGGTGTGAGCGATTTGTGTATTCTTGGTCTTCTTTTTTTTTTTTTCAGGTCGGGAAATTGACAAGTTTTGCTGAAGTAGATGGAAAGTTCTTTGGGTTGGGCTACATCAAGAGGACAGCTGGAGGTGAAGGAATGCAAGTGTCTGTGGGTGGAACGAAAGGACTTGTGGTTGAGGTACCCTATTTGACGCGCAGCCTGACACAGTAGTCTAGAAGCGGAACTATCTCAGTGAAACAGCTCTCTGTTATATGTGCACGTGTGCTCATCGGATCATAGTGCCTCTGTGCAGAGCTGGCTGGTCATTTCTCCTTTTCCAGATTTTAGCAGCTGATTTGGTGTCTGTTGTTTGTTGGTTGGCTGGCCACTATGGTATGAGAGCGCAGCTCATCCTTGTGTTTGTTCATGACTTAACCCGTCCTCTCTCTCTCTCTCTCTCTCTCTCTCTCTCTCTCTCTCTCTCTCTCTCTCTCTCTCTCTCTCTCTCTCTCTCTCTCGCACACACAGAACACTACTATGTGGGGTGGGACTGTGTGCATGTGCAAGAGAGATTGTGTGTGTGTGTGTGTGTGTGTGTGTGTGTGTGTGTGTGTGTGTGTGTGTGTGTGTGTGTTTAGGAAGCTCGCATGTGATCAGGACGTGTATGTGCATGTGCGAGCCTCAGCCAGTGTGAGGGGCAATGCATAAAGTTTCTTCCGAAATCTTGCTGCAAAGAGTGTGGGTATAGAAAGCTCACAAGTGATCAATATTGCATGTGAGCCTCGGCCAAGTGAGGGGTAATCCATGGAGTTGCTCCCCAAATAATGTTGCCCTGAGACCCCCTGTGCAATCAGCGGGTCCCACCTCATGTATGGCCTGAACGCGTTAAGCAGGGCCTTCAAATAATTTTGCCCACAACAGGATCAACAACTGGTATGAAACTGGTATAGGAAAGCCATGAATGATGAAGCCCTGCATCATGCCACCTGCTTTCCATCAACCCACAGAAAATCAGTGATACAAAGAAATAGAAGACCAAGGTACTTTGAGAACGCAAGCCTCCAAAGCAGAACAGGATACAAGACGTATTAACACATTGGATTACATGATCCTGCCGGGCGTCAATATCAGCATGCATAGCATCATGTCCTGATGACAAACAACACAACACTACCCTTTGGAGAGGGACCATGATGCTATGTACGTCTATATCAAACCCCCACAGTATCATCTAATCTGATGAGTTAATCACCTTTGGAATGATCTTTTCCACCAATTCTGTTGCAGAACCAGACCAACCACCAGTGTGAAACGGGCATAGGAAAAGCCATGAACCCCTGCATCGTCTTTCCACCAGCACGTAAAAAGTCAGTGATAGAAAGGAATGAAACACCGACATACTGTGAGAAGGCCAGCCTTCAAGACACAAGAGTATACGAGGCTATTAAACCACTAGTACACGGCCCCAGCCTTGCAGAAAGTAAATGTCGCAACAAGCAAAACTTGGAGGCGCCGCTTGGCCAGGCCCGCCGTTGAAAAAAAAACTTGGCGGCCTCCGAAGTGGTGCGGGTTTCATGCTGACACCTGCGGGCCGATATGTGGTGTACTGAATCTACTGATGCTTTAAGACCCCTTGCTGTGCCAGTGAAGAACTTCAGAGTGATAGGGAACTAAGCGGGTTTTGATCATGTCACTTTGATAATGCAGATCACCTTTGCTGTTTTTTGGAGACAGCCAAAAAACCTGAGTACGGATCCGGGCCGCCCGGCCGACCAGCGCCTGGCCGGGCGGGCGGCCTGGTTGGGGGCCGGGCCCCCCCAGCACACATGCCCAGTGGGGGGTTTCCGACCCCGAATCGGCCACTTTGGACGTCGGCAAGGCCTACCGGGTCCGACCGCGCCGAGAAAACGGCGCGTCGGGCCCGTGAGGCCTGCTTTGACGGCCAGAGGGCCATGCGTTTTTGGAGGGAAAAAGGAGGCCCCGTTTGAACAAGCGAGTGGCTGGGGAGGTCTGCATTCGCTTTCCAAACGGGGGCCCTGCTCCAGCTGCCGCGTTCGTCCTTTCGTCGAAGCAGCTGCCCGTCGTCGCCCGTCACCTAGGAGTGCCGCCGCCATCGCATGGGAGCACCGTCGCCCGTCGAAGCAGCTGCCCGTCGTCGCCGGCGCCTGGGACTGCCGTCGCCCGTCTCTTCTTCTTCTTCTTCTTCTTCTTCTACTTCTTCTTCTTCTTCTTCTTCTTCTTCTTCTTCTTCTTCTTCTTCTTCTTCTTCTTCTTCTTCTTCCCTCCTCCTCCTCCTCCTCTTATTCTTCTGCTTCTTCTTCTCCTCCTCCTCCCCCTCTCATCTTCTTCTTCATCATCTTCTTCTTCTTCTTCTTCTTCTTCTTCTTCTTCTTCTTCTAACTCTTCTGTTTTTCTTCTACCACGACTTCTTCACTCCTCCTC